GGTTTATAGTTTCCATTAAATTTTAAATTTTTTCAGCCATTATTCTTCAAATATTTTTTCCATCCCCTCTTCTCTCTCCTGTGCTTTGGGGATTCCAATTATACACATATTAGGCCACTCAAATTTGTCTCACAGCTCACTGATGCTCTTTGTTTCCTGTTTTGTTTCATTTGAATAGTTTCTATTGCTGTGTCTTCAAGTTCACTAAACTTTTCTTCTGGAATGTCTGATTTGCCATTAATCTCATCCAGTGTACTTTTTGCCTCAGACATTGTAGTTTTCATTTCTAGAAGTTCAGTTTAGATCTTTTTTACATTTTCCATATTTCTACTTAACATGGTCAATTTTTCCTCTAGTTTTTTTGACATACAGAATACAGTTATCATAACTGTTTTAATGTTCTTGTCTGCTAATTCTAACACCTGTGCCTTTCTGAGTCACTTTTTATTCATTGATTTTTCTTCTCATTATGAGTCCTATTTTCCTTTTTCTTTCCATGCATGGAAATTTTTGATTGGCTGCCAATTATTGTGATACCTTGTTAGATGCTGGATATTTTTGTATTCCTCTGAGTATTCTTAAACTCTGTTCTGGGATGCAGTTAAGTTTCTTGGAATCATCTTGATTGTTTTAGGTCTTTCTTTTAAAATGTCTAATACATTTTAAAATGTAGGAACTAATGCAGGCGTAATGCAGGACCAGATCAGCATTACGTTCAGGGCTAATTATTCCCTACTACTGATGCAAGACCCTTCTGAAAACACTGCCTAGTGCCCTGTGAATTGTAGATTTTCTAGTCTGGCTGGCAGGAAGAAGCATTATTACTGGCCTTGCATGAGTATTTGGTACTCTTCTCTCTAATCCTTTCAGGTGGATCTTTCCCTAGCTTTGGGTAGTTTCCCCACACATATGCACTGACGAAACATATACTTAATGAGGGCTCTTTGTAGATCTCCAGCGTTCTTTCTCTGTGCAGCTCTCCTTTGGGGACACTACCTTGTGAATTACAGCGTCCTTGATCTCCCTGGACTCTCAGCAAGGTCTCCTCAGCTCAGAGAACCTGCTGACTCCACCTGGATTCCCACTCCCTGCTCCATGGCCTTAAATTTCTTTCAAAGCACTAAGTTACGGCAATCATAGGGCTCACCTTGGTTGTCTCCTATCTCTAAGAATCACTGTCCTTCAATTGCCTGATGTCCAGTGTCTTGAAACGATCATTTTCTATCTTTTCTCCAGTGTTTTAGTTGTTTCAGGAAGAAAAGTAAATCTAGTTCCTGTTAGTCCATCTGGGACAAATGTAGAAGTTTGGGACTTTGTATTTAGCTCCCATTTGTTTTTTCAGGTTTGTATCAGTTCTCATTTCCTGGCCATATAACTTTGGCAAATTACCTAACTTCTCTGAGCTTTATTTTTTTCCACGTGCAAATGGCAATAATAATGTTACAATGACTGACATTACATTTATGGAAAACATTCAGCACAGGGCCTGACATATAGTAAACACTCTAAAAATGGAGACTATTTTTATTATCTAGATTAAGGGTTTAAATCACTTGATATTTACAGGCTATTCAATATCTAAAATTTTGTGATTTTATTAATTCAATTTTGAAAATTGCATGGCATAATTTAAAAAATTAGGGGCCGGGCCCGTGGCCGAGTGGTTAAGTTCATGCACTCATCTTTGGTGGCCCAGAGTTTCACCAGTTCAAATCCTGGGCACAGACATGGCACTGCTCATCAAGCTATGCTGAGGTGGTGTCCCACATGCCACAACTAGAAGGACCCACAACTAAAAATACACAACTATGTACCAGGGGGCTTTGGGGAGAAAAAGGAAAAAATAAAATCTTTAAAAAAAAAATTAAATCCTATCCTCAATATCCTTTTTAGCCATACACTTAGTATGCATAAATGAAAATTGGTATTTTGTAAATGACAGCTTTATCCCTGTCAAATTTTATTTTACAAGTTATCATTTTTTATTTCATTAATACATTACATTAAAGTACATTAGGAATTATTAGGCCATTTGGATCTTCCATTTTGAAGAACAATTTGAGATTGCTTTTCTTTTTTTGCCTCCCTTTAATGCTGGAATTGACTATTTCTTAAATTAAACTTTTTCCCCCGCATTTTCACTATCAATCCAGTTGCTCAGCTAGGAACTAAGGTTTTGTTTGTTTAATTATTGGTTTTTAAAGGCTCTATGTACTAATTAAAATGAGGATAATAGTACAATTCTAAAATGTTCCTAAATGTGATATCTTAGTAATAATCTAAGAAATATTTGGTTGGAATTTTTTATGGCACTACAAAGTGATAGCCAATAAATGACTATCACTTACTGTAAGCAGTCTGTCTATAGAAGAGTTTTAATTACAAAATTTTAACTGAAAAGTAACAACACTGTGCATTTGGAATCAATTTTAAATGGTCAGCATGCACATTAATTTGCCTTCTTCACATCAAAGCAATACCTGAAATAAACAAAAATTCATGTCAATTAGTAAATATGTGGTTATTTTAAAATGTGCCATCCTTGTTGCATAGCAACTTTTAATTCTGTTATGTGCTTTTTACATACTCTAAGATAATTAAGCAAGGCACAAATTGCCATCTACTTTTTTTGAATGTTAAAAGCATTTAGGTTATAAAGTTTATTCTAATATGTGTATTATATTTGTAAAGGGAACATTTCATTCCTACGCAAAGGCACAGTGACCCAAGAAACAGATGACAATGTCATATTAGCGATTCTCCTTTCTCATGAGAGGACTTTTAGGGAACTTTTTATTCATAGTCTCAATAACTAACACAGCCAAGACATAATTATCATTCCCTGGCTTTACTGGTCTGAATCCGGATTTACTGCTAAGCTAAATGATAAGATTTATTAACAAGAAGTCACGTCCTCTCAATAAAATGAAATGCCCATTTATATTATAGAAAATTATACACACCAAAATACATCTGTGATATAATTAATTTATTAGAAAGATAGCATAGTCTTAGTAAGAATTTAGAGAATTTTGCATAGGTTTATTTTCATCATCGACCTAACTTAACCACATAAAGCAAGAACATAACTGACTTTTATATGGTCAGATGCTAACGCTAACTTGTTCCACTTGCTGTGTTAGCACCTTTGGGACCGGGTACAGTGAGCAGCAGTACTAGAGAGGATCACGAATGCAGAGACTTCTTCTCCAGTAGCTTGTGTCCGAAAGTCCTTCATGGGGTGTGACCGTGGAAATGAGGAACTTCTGCACAAGCTAAGGCAGAAAAGTCCACTCTGTCGGTCTATGAGGAGTTCAGAAGTTTGAGGGAACGAAAGGATCTGTGAATCTCTATCCACGTTAATTCCATCAGTGAAATTTCTGAGTCGAAAGATGGGACATTTACAATATCTCTTCATATGTGTTGCCAAGCTGCTTTCCAAAAGGTTGCTGTAATTTCTAGTCGCTTAAAGAATAAGAATGAAAGACCGTCTCACCAGACTGTCACCACAGTGCAAAACCCACTATCAACTGGAGGAGTGAAAAATAATTTCTCATTGGTTTAAGTCACCTTTTGAATTGCTAGTTAGGTTGATCATCTTCTTGTATTTTTAAACATGGATTGGTAAAGATGGGGGAAGTGAACAGGAGTAGACTAGCCAACTGAGTACCTGAGGCTAATAAAAATTAGAAAGAATTAAAGACATGTGGGCTTTCGAGAAGAAAGAAAAGAAAAAGCCCATGCTACAAAATGAAGCAAAATAAGAATGAGACACCTAGGGCAACTTCAGCCCACGTTCGCAAATTTTAATTGTTGCCCATATGGAACTGTTGTTACAGCAATCGTTTTTGTTATAGCCTGAATGTGCTGTCACTGAGGAGCGAGGGAAGGAGGACCGATTCTTAGAGCGCCGGTACTGGCTGAGCATGGCCAACTGTGAGAAGATTGGAAATGAAAGCGACAAATTTAGAATTGACCTGAGCCAGCAACAATACTTCAAGGGTCTCAGTCTTGTGGATAGCAGAGTAGGGGTTCCAGGGGGAGATGTTAGTTTGAAGGTGGCCACTGCTTGTTGCTTGAGGTTACAAGCTATAGCGTCTGGTCACCAAGGAGAAGAATCTGATAATAACCAACAGGTCGTCAGGACTCTGTCAAGCAGTCTGAATTTCAGCAGCCAACTCTAGTTCTAGAGGCTAATTTACGACATAAGCAGCAAACCAAGGCAGAAGGCTAGTGCTAGGGAGAGGTACCAGAAGGGGAAGAGGAAGAGTTGAGAAGGCTTCAGCTCAGTGTGCAGGATGAGGCCAGGGCTCCATCAGGGAGTAGCAGAAGTTTATGATAGAGAGACGATGTCTGCAGCCTCAGCGACTAGAGCTGTGCACAGCCTGAAGACGCAGGGGCTAACGATTTCAGAAATATTACTTGTATTCTTTAAAATTAAGAAAGTAATACATATTCATTGTTGAAACTTTGAAAACTATGGAAAAGTCCAAAGACAAAAATCAATGCAATTTTTTTCATACTCTAAGAGAAAACATTTTCTTGTAAATAGTGAGCTAAATACTTATTCATTTTACTTTGCCAAAGTTCATAACTGAATGATTTTAAGTCACTTTTCATTCTCTTATATTATCTTCTTAAAAGCAGAGAAATTGTAAGAATGAATTCATATTCTCCTGTTTTTAAGGATGTGGTCAAATGTAGATTCTGTCACTTTATGGAAAAAGGTAAATATTTGAAAGTAAAAATTATACTTTTACATGAGAACTAAAGGTTATCTTAATCTTACAAGATTTCAAATTCTATCTTTTTATGTCCCATTATATTGTCTAATATTTTGGAAAAGACACACTTCATAAGCATATTTGGCCTAGGAAACTCCAGAAGGAATCAGAACTGTGCATAGAAGCAAACAAATATATCTGGAATAGTCTGGTAAATGGACGGAATTTTAAAGAAGCAAATAAGACACATGCTGATGAAACCCACATTATCGTTACCTTCTCCCTCCAGTTGTCATCATTCAGCAGCTTCTGTCTAAGAGTTTCCTGCAGCTGCTCGATGCTTTTCTGATGTGAAATCAGCATCAATTCCCTGAAAACCATAAATCCAACAAATGAGTCAAGACTCACCCCTGATACTCTTCCTAAGTTGCAGTTCCTGGCTCAGAGAGTATACACTACTAGATACCTTTTTAACTGCTAACAGGAATTTACAAACACTACACACAAGGTCAATATTTTCTCAGGCTTACATTTTGCTTAACAAATAATATTATTATTTTTGCATGAAATAGTAACAACATTTGTGGAGTCACAAATATGATAAAATGCTATTCATTGTGGTTCCAAAATTTATGACTAAATCCTAACGGTAGACAATATTTTGTTTCTTAAAAAGAAGAAAACATGTTGAGATATGCCATAAAATCAACGAGTGTTTGTGGTTCCTGCCAGATTTATTTTCCTTTTACTTATCTCAAATACTGATAGGAACAAACCAAATTAAGTGGAGGGTAATGTCTGAGATGTGGTATAGTACAAAACATATTAGAACATTGAAAAGAAAACACAAAGAACATTTTAATCCACATCAATGGATCTTAAAGGTTAGTTTGTGACCCTCCGGGTAGAGGTATGTGAGGGAGACTTGAGAGAAATTTTCGCAGGGGCACTGAAATTAAGCCTTTTAATATCACAAGTAGTGGCAAAAGCACACTTGGTGATCAGGCTTCTTCTCCCTTCTATAATCACCATGATCCTTCTTATCATCTATGTAGATGATTCTTCTCCATTGATTATCCCGCTGTCTAGTCTCTTTGTTTTACATCATTACCGTCTTTCTTTTAGCTCTGACCCCTTTTCTCAAACTTGCGACTTTCATTTATAACTGCCTGTTGGCCATCTCCATCCTAATGATTCATTAACACCAAAGATTCCACACCTCAAAAAACAAATTCACCATCAGCTTCTGCAATCTCGCCTTTCATTTTGACTTCTGAAAACCTTCAACAGTCAAAATCTTTGGCTCGAAATCCCGGAGTCATCTCTGACTCTCCCTTCTCTTTGTTCAACTACACTCATTCAGTAACAAGTTCTATATGTTCTGCTTCTTCCATGCACCTCAAACTATTGCCTCCCTTCGTTTTGCACTACCAACAACCTTGTTAAGGTTCTTGACTTTATCTCCCACCTACAGTATTGTAATAGACTCTTAACCTATCTCTTGATCTTTATTCTAGTCTCACTTATATAATATTATTAAACATTTTCTTTACCATAATAAAAACATTGCCTACATCTCTAGGCTAGAAATTTTTTTTTTCTTTTGGTGAGGAAGATTCACCCTGAGCCAACAACCGTGCCAATCTTCCTCTGTTTTGTTTGTGGGATGCCTCCACAGCGTGGCTGATGAGTGGAGCAGGTCCACACCAGGATCTGAACCAGCAAACCCAGGCCTTGGAAGCGGAGTGTGCGGAACTTTAACCATTTGGCCACAGGCTGACCTCTCTAGGCTAGAAAAATTTAAGGACACAAACATAAGGAGACATGTTTGACTTGGTAAACAGGATTATAAATATCATTTGAAGGAAATTGATTGAAAAAAACAAAACTCCTAGACTTCTCTTTCCAGAAGTGTGTGGGACTAGGTACCTTGACAATTTGCCTACTGAAAATAAGTAAAATTGTTTGTTTTACTTATTAAAAAAAATCTTAAAATTCACCAGTGAGCTGGCCAAAAAGTGAGGAAGATGCAGACAGCAAAACTGAAGTGAAAGGATAGAGAAAGAATGTCGGTGGAAAACTAGCGAAATCTAAACAAAGCCTGTAGGTTAGTTAATAGTATTATACCAATGTTAATTTCTTGGTTTTTACAGATGTGACATGGCTACGAAAAATGGGCCAAAGGGAAATACAGACTCTCTGTACTGTCTTTGTAACTTTTCTGTAAATATAAAATTATTCCAAACTAAAGGTTAAAAAAAATGAAGTGACAGGAAGAACTCCAATAATAAGTAGAACATTGAAGCCGACTCTCTCCTTGAAGGTACTTTCCAAATTGGATAAACTTGAGCTTTAACTTTCACAGCCATGAAGGGCACAGGAGTCAGGAGGGAAAGGGAGAGTCCAAGAGGACACTCCCCTCATAGGGCTGCATCTCAAAGAGCTACACAGGCAGCATATGTGTGAAATTCACATCAGCAAGTGTAAAACACAAATGACATCTCCTCTCAAGGAATAAAAAGGAAACTGCCAGCTCTGGATTTCGTTGCCAAGTAGCGGGGGAAATGCAAATCTCCCACAAGAATTTGTAAACACAAACCAACCTTAACGCAGATTTGTATCCTGAATTCACACTACCTGGTGGTCCAAAAAGCTTCATGTTAAGAAGATATCTTCAAGCGGTGCTGGGGTAACCTGGCCTCCTGAGGCCTGACAGGAAAACACCAATATCTGGGGGAGAACCCTGTCTTCTCCCTGAGACTCAAAGAATTCTTATGGATAAAGATTCAAGTCCTATGAGATGATAACTTAAAAAAATCACAAAACTATTTAAAAAAAAAAAAGCACTAAGAGGAAGAATGAGCAGACACAGATGACAGCATAATCAAACTCACAAATTCTACAGTATTGAATTTTTAGTTATGGAATATAAAATAAGGCTGTTCACTGTGTTAGAAGAAATAAAATATTGATTTAAATGACTAATGACATTTGAAAAAGAACCAAATCAAACTTGTAGAAATGAAAAATATAATAATTGAAATGAAAAACTCAGCAAATTATTCACAGCTGAAAAATGAAGTAAGAAACTGAAAGGGAGATTCAAAGAAATTATACAGAGTGCAGTACAGGGAGTCAAAAATATAGAAAATATAGAAGTTGATATATGGAGGACAGAGTGAAAATATCTAATATATATCTATTCATCCTTTCAGAAGCAAAGGAGAGAGAAAGGGGGAGGAAGCAATATTTGAGGAGAATATTCCAGATTGATGAGAAATACCAACTCACAAATCCAGGAAGCCCAATGGATTCCCAGCAAGATAAACAAAAGTAAATCTCACATCTGGGCACCTGGTAGTGAAAAGGAAGAACGTCAAAGTTAAAGAGATCTTAAAAGAAGCTGGAGGGAAAAAAACCAGATTATCTTCAAAGGAACCCAAACATATGGAAAGCTTATTCTCCAACAGAAACAAAGGAAGCCAAAGACAGCAAAATAATATGTTCACAGTCCTATGAGAAAATAACCGTCAACCTAAAGTTGGGTATCCAGCAAATCTGTCTTTCAGAATGAGGCTGAAATAAAATATACTCAGATAAATAAAATCTGAGTGTTTACCACCAGCTGAAGGACCTTCACTAAAGGAGCCTCTAAAGAGAATGCTTTGCAGGAAGGAATATATTCTCAGGAGGAAGGCCAGGCAAGCAAGGAGGACTGGTGAGCAAAGTGGATGGCAAATGCACAGGCATGGAGGGCTTCTGGGGCATGTGATCAGGGCGGTGGTGTAGGGCTCCCTCTTCAGAAGGGGGCCTGTGCTTCCGGTTTAATGCTCTGTGATCACCCATCAAGAAATTCGTAATAATTTTGTCTTTGAATTTGTGTGTTTTTAACTGAGGTCTGATGGGACAATTGAGCATATGCGGGGGCTTGGAGCCTCAGCTCACACACAGTCCTACCTCCTGCCACCTTCCTGCCTCCCCATGCTGGTTCTCAAACCCGTGCTCCCTTGCCCTTGCCCAGCATCTGCTGCCATCTTCTGCTTTGGGCAGGGGCCCAGGCCTGGGCACACGCTGAGTCATGGGGTCCTGGGTGCCCATGAGAGCTTACACCCACCTGGTGAAATCCCGAAGCCCAAGGGAGAGTGACATCAAATAGCAAACATAAAGACGTCGTGACAAGTTGCGAGAGAGATACTGTGAAGGAAAGGAAAAATCCTCTTTCCAGTTTTTTCAACAAGGGGCCTCACATTTTCATTTTGCACTGGATCCTGAAAATTATGTAGCCAGCCTTACATGTAGGGAATAAACAAATTCATCTCTATAAAATAATAGTTTTGACTATGTGTAATAGTGGGGCTAATGAAAGGATAGAACTGGAACACTAGACAAAAATGTAGAATGTATGTTGGGATGGCAACTATTAGAGCTCAAGCATTCTTTGGTCCCTGCATTATTCAAAAGGAATTTGAGGTATTACTTTTAGACTTCATCAAGTACGCATGGTAAAATTTAAAAGTAACAAACTAAAAGAATAGAAATAGAATATACCATTAGCGGAAAAATGCACTAAGAAAATAAATGAAACTCCAACAACCTCCTACTTCCAAAAAGCCCGAAAGGAGAACATAGTGCAGAAAAAGAGGGAGAAATAGAAAGCTTAAAATAACAATCACAATAATGGTAAATAAACTAAAATCATGAGTTAAAAGAAAGAAACAGACGATAAAAGCAAACAAGCAAACCCTAGCTGTATGCTTTATAAGAGACATTCCTAAAACATAAGGACATGGAAAGATTTCCTTTTTCTGGAAAAGATGCAACTGGGAAATATTAAAGAAAAGGAAATGTGTAACTATATTAATATTGGACAAAGTAGGCTTTAAGACAGAAATCATTATTCTGAGCTGGTAATAATAACAGGTTAATTCACCATGAATATTCTAAATTTATATGCACCTATTAAAATAGCCTCAAAATATATAGAGCAAAACTTTATACAACTGTAAGGAGGTATTGTCAAATCCCCACTCCACATAGCTCCCTGAGTTACAGATAAGTCACCCTGACACCACCATACAAGGCCATGGAAGTGTACACTGCACAACTCCAGGTGTTACGTGAATGGCCCTCCTGTAATGTGTAATGTAGCAACCTAGGGTCAAGCAGACAAATAACTCAGTAAATATATAGAGGATTTAAACAAAGTAAACAGTAAGTTTGATGTAAGGTACCCATATAGAATCCTGTAGCCAATTAGTGGAAAAATACACAATTATTTTCCAGCTCACATGGAATTGACCACATACTAGACCGTAAAGTAAATTTCAAACAACTATTATACTATAAACCTGTATAGTCCAATATGGCAGC